GGAAAGAGCCAGAGACAGCATGCCGGGGGGGAGTCCCATGGCCCTTGGAGAGATCTCCCTTTCCATTTCTAACAGATGGAGGGGAGAAACCTAACAGCACAGCTTGCATTCCTTATTAGTGAAAGGGAGCAAGAGTATAGCAGCACTTTAATGACTAACAAAATTTGTGGCAGGGCATGAGCTTTCATGAATGACTGTTCATTTCTTCAGATATCAATCAATCATTTTATTTCTACAGTCCTTAGACCAGTCATACAAAAAAGAAGTACACCTTTACTAAAGCCATAAAATGGTATGAGTTAAATTTGTAAATTTAACCCCCAAATGTAACAAATCAAAGAAAGTGGATGTATGTATAATGAAAAACTGAAAATAAACATATTAAAAAAAGAAGTACACCTTTACAATATTCCAAGATTTTAAGATACATCAGTGACACATTAAAAGCAAATTAAAATTTAATCTAATATCAAACAACTATATCTAACTAGCTACCTTAGAGTTTCCATGATCTGAGTATCACCATACAGAAACTGGCTACTTGGTGGGTAATTTTGGGGTTTCTATCAGATAGAAGAAACTCGAGTCTAGCTTTTTCGGAAAGACCCAGAATTTGTTCAGTCAGCAGAGTGATTTTATTACACGCCACCTTATAATACGGACATCTAGAAAACATGTGCTCTGTAGTCTCAACCTCCCTTAATGGGCAGGTACAAAGCCTTTCTGAGAAAGGAGTATTCTTGTATTTTTTCATTTCTTCAGATAAAGCTGGAATATGAGACCATTTGTCTTTATATCTCGGAGAGTGAAGTGTTTTCAGATGCCAAATGACAATAGCAGACATTGGTAATAAGAAACCTAGGTCTCAATTCAGTCCAGGAGTTTGCATTGTCTTGAGCCTCATGATCAGTTGCAATTCAGCCGTCTCTCTTTCTAATCTCCCTTTGAAATTCCTTTGTAAGAGAACTGCTGCTCTTAGGAGAGCAACTGAATGCCCTGGAAGGTTAAAATGTTCATGCACTGGCTTTTGAATGTTGTGGTTTCTAATAGTAGTAGAAAGAGTAAGAGTCTAGTAGCACCCTTAAAGACTAACACAATTGTGGTAGGGTATGTGCTTTTGTGAGTCACTGCTCACTTCTTCAGATTTTTTTCCATTTATTCTTTGCATCCTCCTGGACTGAATCCTCCTGTACCAAATTGAGACCTAGGTTTCCTGTCTCATTACCAATGCTGATCACTCCATGCCTCTGTATATCATACCAATGCTGAGATCTCCACCTGTCTGTATATCACACCTAATCCAATCACGCCTGCTATTGCCATTCAGCATCTGAAATCATCTTTATAAAGTGTATATCTCCAGTACCTTATGTTACATTTCATGGCACACATGGCCCAGCCTGACAAAGTGACATTTAAGTCAGATCCAGCCCTTGTAACAAATGGGTTTGACACCTCTGCTCTAGTTATTTCAAGAAATATATTTTTATTACTTCATACAACTACAGAATGATTTGACATTTCATAGACATTGTGCTACAATTGCTATGAGGGAGATACTGTGTTGTCACTGATCATTCATAACTTGCACAGCAGAATCCTGATTATATTATTATAACTAACAATAAGTTACTGATTTACATACACACCTTATCATAATATGTGCATAGCATATTGCTTCAAAAACTTTTTAAAATCCAAAGTCTGAAGATACATGAAAAACTATAAACAGTGAATATGGACAGTCCCATTTTACAATTGAAATAAAGCCCTTTCACCAAATATGAATACATAACTCCTCTTATATTATGAATATTCTCAGGGATTTTCACTGCATCTGATAGAATGCCTATAAGTAATTTTTAAAAGTTATTGATATGCTAATGATAAATGGTGGATTCCACCCAGGGATAGACAAACTGCCCAAAGTTTGAATTGTTACTGAATCATCCATTACAAGTGAAACCAGCAAATAAATTGCTTTTCAAACATTCCCATTGACATTTCTTGCACTGCTACTTGGGAATGGTAGGATGGGGGAAGACAGCACATTCCATAGGAAACCATGTGATGCATCTTCTCCTTCCCCGTATGATGCCTTGTCCCTTGCTTCGTATTTACCAGTCAGTGCCGGATTTACGCATAAGCTAAATAAGCTACACCTTAGGGCCTCGCAATCTGCTGGAGCCTCGAATAAAAACACAATATAAAAATGATTTCAAATATTAAAAAGGCGTATATATTTTAAATTTTTCTGAGACCAGCTGATGTAATTTAAAACAGTAGGGGGCCTCTGGGTTTTGTATAGCTTAGGGCCTCAGCAAGTCTAAATCCGGCCCTGACCGGCATGGATCGGCTCATGGAAGAAAAGGCAGCAGTAGCAGTAGCAGCTTTGTCAGTGTATGTAATTACAGTTATAAAAATGGCAAGTAACCTTCAGCAATCCAGACATTTATTTTAGATTAATATTATAAACTGGGAGAAAATCCTTATTATGAGTCCATGACTTCACTATTCTAATCAACATTTCTATTGTATTAACAGGTTCCTCATAAAAATGTTATAAACAATTGTCTGATAACACATTAATGCATCCTTGCAGTTTTGTTACTGGTTCTATCCTTGACAATATTTATTTTTTATTAACTCTAGGATGCTCTTGCTGCATTGTTCCATGTCCTACCTTCTGCTGCTGCTGCCATTTAGTTCCTGGACCCAGAAGTTGCCCACTAGAGATGAAGAACTTTTTCAGATGCAGATCCAGGACAAAACTTTTTTCCATGATTCATCAGTAATCCCAGATGGAGCTGAAATTAGCAGCTATCTCTTCAGAGAAACACCCAAAAGGTATTTGGGCTATCTTAAAGTATCAGTGAAAGGAACTGTTGTTGAAACTGCATAATTATCTCATCATACTTGCAAAAAAGTTTCACATTTTATACCATGGGGTATATATTACATGCCAAATTTCTGTATATCTTGTGGTAAAAATGTCCCACAATATATTTTGTTGTTGTAGCAGTAATTATTGTGTTTCAAAACACCCAAAAAGCCAGAGCCAGAAAACACATTTTCAGACAATGTAGAGAATGCTTTGTTTGAGTAGTTTCACCCTCAAATCAATTCTTTTAAAAGCTGCTCATATCTGGAGCATTTTTGTACCCTCAGAATATATTCTCTATGATCAGGTTATCAGGAATGGTCATCAGGCTGTCTGGGTGGGGGCTGTATCTCTCCCTAGTACTTAAGATGTTTCCCTGGATCTGTGTCTTCTGTTAAAACAAAAAACAAAAAACAAACAAACAAAAGCTCACTAGCATTTTTGTACCCTAATACATTATGTGAGCTGGTGTAAAAAAGCAATCCAAGTGTCAAAAGCAAATAATTTCAGGGATTGTTTCATACCTCAGGCTTTCCCCCCCCCCAGGAAAAAGCCTATAAGTGGTAAGAGGTTAGAATTATAGAATCATAGAGTTGGAAGGTATCTCCAGGGTCATCTAGTCCAACCCCCTGCACAGTGCAGGAAATTCAAATACCTCCCCCCACCCCCAGCGACTCCTGCTGTATGCCCAGAAGAGGGCAAAAAACCCCCACAACAACACAAAATCTCCCAGGATCCCTGGCCAAACTGGCCTGGAGAAAATTGCTTCCTGACCCCAAAGTGGCAATCAGCATTTCCCTGGACATGTAAGAAAGGTCCACGCGAACTAAGCACTGATGCAACCCTTCCTGCCTTCCCTCTCTTGATCTGCCTAAGTTCACAGAATCAGCATTGCTGTCAGATGGCCATCTAGCTTCTGTTTGAAAACCTCCAAAGAAGGAGAGCTTACCACCTCCCAAGGAAGCCTGTTCCCCTGAGGAACTGCTCTGCCAGGAAGTTCTTCCTAATGTTTAGCCAAAACCTCTTTTGTTTTAATTTCAACCCATTGGTTCGGGTCCGACCTTCTGGGGCAGCAGACAACAACTCTTCACCATCCTCTATATGGCAGTCCTTCACGTGCTTGAGGATGGTTGTACTTTGTGTGCCTTTCTTTTTACTAACATGCAGGTGACAACATTGTAGAGGACAAAAGGACAAAAAAGTGCACTGGGGGTCAATGCTCCCTCTAAGCTGTGGAGTCTTGTGAGCAAAAGTTCTACTTTGTGAGCTACTGGCATTAAAGTTGTGATTTGGCTACTGAATAAATCAGTTTGCTCTGGAGCCATCTTTCCTGAGCTAAGAGAAAAAACATGTGAGCCAGATGCTAAAAAACTGAGCTACCTCACACTAACTCAGCTTAGAGGGAACACTGCTAGGAGTGGAAATTTGCCACTAACATTATTACAAGGACTAAAGTGAGTGGGAGTTGATCTGGAGCTCTAATACTTTGAGATCAAAAACTTTCTCAATCAGAGCTGTAACCTTTAAATGTATGTCTAGATGGTGTTAGACACCTCAGAGGCTGCACCCGCTACACCCATCTTCCTTCCTGGTATGTTGGTGTGGTTGTAGTGAAATAGGCACCTATTGGCATTGTTGGTGGGCATATAAATTCATAGAGTAATTCTGATGCCCAAATCAGTGAGATTGTCTCATATAATATACCATTCAAGGCTGAAGTTTTACTTTTGAATTTTTGACTGAATAGGGAAATCTCAACGGAGAAAAAAGAGCTAGTGGCATTGTTATGTACTGCTGCAAAATTGGTAATTGCCCAAAAATGGAAGAGTTCTGTACCACTACATAGAGACCACTGATACCAATTTTTTTTAAATTTGTGCCTTTTAGAAAATGTGGCCACAAAAATTCAAAATACATTATCGGGTTCTTATTCTACTAATTTTAAGGTTGTGTGGTTTCCCTTTTTAAGCTTTGTGTCTCGACATGACCAGACGATAGATATTGGATTGGACTAAATTGGTTAATAAACTGACTTGCCTGAGTTATTACCCTACCCACAAAGAATAAGTTGTGATGGCCTTGGGAGAGAAGGATTGAATGTTATTAAATTGACTTGCCTGAGATATTTCCCTTTCCGCAAAGAACAAGTTGTGATGGCCTTGGGAGAGATGGAAATCTTGTTATATTGAATATTTGGCATTTCCTTTATGCGGTATATTTGTATATTTAGATTTGTTATCTTACATTTGGTATATGAATTTTGTAATTTATTGGGTTGAATAAAGAAATATTTTAAATTAAAAAGTTATTACCAGGACTATAAAAACTATTAAGATACAGATATAAATTTTCTACTGATAAACAAATGTTGTGAGTAGCCTTCAAAAACAAAAGCCCCCCAAAATCATAAAATGTTTTCAAATGGTAATCACAATCTGAACATGGACATCTATAAACTTTCCCCCATAGTTTTAATTTTTTAGTTCAGCGATCTGAGACTACCAATAGTCTCATATTGCAAAAGTCATGCCACGTTAAAAAAACTAAAAATTTAAAATGAGGAGGAACTGGAGCTTGTACACCAATGAAGGGTGGAAGATGGTGGAAGGTACAGAATGGGTGGAATGACCTCAATGTGGGCAGGGGAGTAACCTCAATCAATCAATAAACCTTTAATTGCATATACAACATTAAGATCAGAAACAGAAAGTGACACAGTCAACTAAAAAACTGGAATAATTATAAAATCATGAAACGGAGTTTCCCAAATTTTTCACTCTTATCACATCAACTAAAAAATTAGCCACTGCCACTGTAATCTCTGCTGTTGTATCATTCAATAGAATTTGACATTTTCTTTCATTAGAAAGGTGATATTTACCATGCAACCAAGAGTTTAACCATTTTTCCCTAGCAGATACATACAACGAACAGTCCAGCAGTATGTGATCAATTGAATCAAGAGAGCTTGAACCACAGTCACATCTCCGTTCATACTTAGGAATATTATGACACCTACCATACAGTAGTTTTGATGGAAAGGCATTTACTCGAGCAAGGGAAAAAGCTCTTCGATGGCAAGGCTATCCAAATTATACAAATACTGGGGAATACATCCCACATCATTCTTAAGATTTAATGAAGCTGAAGAGCAGACAGGGGGATGAAAGGGCTGCAGTTTTTGAAACTCAATAGCTAAAAGCCTCTGTTTGATTGTATTAAAAATATACGCTTCAGAAGAGAAAGCTAACTCCTCCAAGGAGAGGCCCAAAGATGTTATTTTGGATCGAATATTCAAGTCCCAAGAGGTACTATGAATTTCCTTTAACAGAGGGAGTAACCTTTGGGGGCGGCAAAAAGGGCAGGGGGAATCTGTATGCTTTTGAACAACCTTCAACTTGGAAGCAAAACAAGGGAAAAATCAGCACAAAAGCACTATCAGAAAACCCTGGGAAACTGACCAGAAAGCGAACTGAGTGCTGAAGGGAGGAAAATCAATGCAGAATGACAAAGAAAACCTGATGGACATGCACGGTGAAAGCGAGGCAAAATACCCATGCATAATAGGCCAGTAGCCCATCAGGATTTTCACATTCATTTGTTTTAGCAATGAGAGGTCTACTAGGATCACTAAAATAAGATATGAAAATGGGAAACAAGCTCTTTTGAACACTTGCTTTTATAAATGCAGAGATCACATTCATTTTTGTACATTTAAGAAACAATCATTTCCATAAAATATTCCTTATTTTGCCCTAATAATAATAAATTATTACTGTGGAGTTCTTCATATGACTGGGTTCCATTGAATAAGGAAATGTGAAGAGCTACAGGATGCCTACTAAGAAACTTGATATATAAACAGATACGTCACATTTAGCCTCAAATAAAAACCACAAAGCTTGAATTTTACAGTAAGCAAACTTTTAAGTGAACATTAGTTACTATTCGATTGATTTCTTGCAGAAGTTTGAATTGTATTCTTTTTTAAAATAATGTGGTTTCTTGGAAGTGAAAGTATACTGTAAAGAATGTAATGCATGCATTAATCTTTCCATAGATTTTTCTTTGTGGTGGAGGAAGATAACACACCCTTGGCAGTTACAGTAACTCCATGTGATGCTCCTTTGGAATGGAAACTAAGTTTGCAGGAGCTTCCAGAAGAATCCAGTGGTGAAGGCTCAGGTAAACAACAGAAAGCCAGAGGAAATTCTAGTTTTATGCCTGGTATGAATCAGTAGGGCATGGAGAGTATTTCATGTAAAATTACCATTTTGAAGGTATCAGAATCAGTAGTGATACAGAACTAGTTTTTCATAGTCTGTTGCTACATTTTATAGTTATCGCATAAAAAGTAACTCTGTGTAAGCCAGTTTCTGATTTTTGAGGGTCAATTTCCACAAGATGGAGTTCAAAGGATAGGACAGGCTGGGGACCGTAGACCCAAACTGTAAATTCCACCAGAGTAATATGTCATTTGCATGTTTTCCTTTTTTCCCTCCTTTGCTTTCCCCACTCTTGATTGGACTGTCGAACATGTAAAGAAAAAGCCTCAGCTTTTTCTCCCCCATGCTGTTAAACTGAACAGAAACAATCTGGGAAGGAGCTATTTGGCTCATTGCAGAAAACCACATGGCCACATGGTCTTCCACAATGGGTTGAATTGTTCATTTCCCAAACTGTTTTTGTCTGGGGTAATAGTGTAGGGGGTCAAAACTCCTACTGTATATGTGGCATGGTCTAATCTGGAGAAGATACAAAATGCACAGGAGGAGAGAAATAAGGTATGGCTCTGATTCTCTGAGTTCACAGGTTGGGTCTGTGGTTCCCACCATATAAATTCTGACTCATGAAAATCAACCCTGAGAACTATGAAGCCTTCTCAGAGGTATGCAGAAAGAGCTGGGATAAACTGTAGGGACACACGTGTGCACACAGAAGCCTTTGGCTATGAGGTACTTTTATTGTTTAATTATCTCTTTATGTAATTTTTGCAAAGCAAGGTGAAAAGGTAGTAAAAAGAAACCAATATTGTGGAAGTTAAAGAACATCAGTGTTACTCTGTGTTATGGGGGGAAATACAAAGCTTATTCCTAGAAATCAGACTACTTGGTGCAGGATAGGAGTAATAATGTATTGTGTAAGAACTGGAATAATCTATGAAGATGCTTTATATACAAAGGTTCTCCCAAAGTTTTCAAGGAAATTGGGAGAGCCTGTTCCCTGTGTCATCTCAAGAATATTAGGTGGTAGTTTAGGACAGAGGATTAGGAAATTGAGGAGCCTACAGGGGAAGGTGGCGTTATCACTATATTACCCAAGCCTCCAGGTTTGGAAAAATGTTCCACTGTCTTCTTCTGATTGTGTGATTGCTCAGGGTCATTCTCCGTCAGCAAATTATTGGTATTGTGCTTTAAGGCCAGATTTATATGTACAACACATATGGGTGGCCATTTGTAACACAAGTAATGAAGTAAATAAAAATAAATAACCATGTGACAGCAATGCCAAGTAGTAAGTGGATGTATGAAGCCACTTCAACTCCCCCTCCCAGTTTTATTTTGTGGAGCTATGTGGTTTTATTAGAAACAGCCCACATACATGATTGTATGTGTGAATTGGGTTTAGTGTATAGTATGAGCATGTACAGATTAAGTATATATTAAGAATCCTGAACCATTTGCTTTTTCTTCAGTTGTTATGAAATTCATATGGAGAGACTGATGGGAGTATTAGACACTTCAGCAACTGAGTTAGAATATGTCATATAAATGTGTAATAAAGAAAATTATAGTGTCATATGCCCCCTAAATCATCTTAGTATAGCAATAGGATACATTTATATACCCTACTACATCTGTAAAAATGTAATATATTAATATGATGGCAGTGTTGTTTATTCAAAAGTTGAATGATTTATAAATATGCCAGCCAGTCATTATGATTGCCTTTCAAGGAACAGTTGATTTCACATCTAAGTTGTATTTATTTTCTCTTTGAGACTGCCTTTCAAAAACGTCTTTGTTCTCTAGGTGAACCAGAGCCACTTGAACAGCAGAAACAACAGATTACCAATGAAGAAGGAACAGAATTGTTCTCATACAGAGGAAATGATGTTGAGTATTTTGTGTCCTCTAGTTCACCCTCTGGCTTGTACCAGCTGGAACTCCTATCAACAGAGAAAGACACACACTTCAAAGTATATGCCACCACAACTCCAGAATCAGATCAACCCTATCCTGAATTACCTTATGATCCAAGAGTTGATGTCACTTCTCTTGGACGTACAACTGTCACTTTGGCATGGAAACCAAGCCCTACAGCTTCATTGCTGAAACAGCCAGTGCAATATTGTGTGGTCATTAATAAAGAACATAATTTCAAAAGTCTCTGTGCTGTTGAAGCTAAACAGAATGTTGATGATGCCTTCATGATGGCTCCCAAACCAGGTCTGGACTTCAGCCCCTTTGACTTTGCCTATTTTGGATTTTCTTCCAACAGTAATTCTGGCAAAGAGCGTAGCTTTTTAAAATCTTCATCAAAGTTTGGGCGGCATATCTACTCCAAGCCCAAAGTTGACCTGGAAAAGATTTGCATAGGAAACAAGAACATCTTCACCGTGTCCGAACTGAAACCAGATACACAATATTACTTTGATATATTTGCTGTAAATGTTAACACAAATATGAGTACTGCCTATGTTGGCACTTTTGCAAGAACCAAAGAGGAAGCCAAGCAGAAGACAATTGATCTCAAAGATGGGAAAGTTACAGATGTGTTCATCAAGAGAAAGGGCTCTAAGTTTTTACGTTTTGCTCCAGTATCATCACACCAAAAAGTTACGTTCTTTGTGCATTCATGTCTTGTTGCAGTACAGCTCCAAGTCAGAAGAGATGGAAAGCTTCTGTTGTCTCAAAATGTTGAAGGTGTCCGTCAGTTCCAACTTAGGGATAAGCCAAAAGCTAAATACCTCATTCGACTGAAAGGAAATAAGAAAGGAGCCTCCATGTTGAAGATTTTGGCTACTACAAGGCCTAATAAGCAGTCATTTCCGTCTCTTCCTGAAGACACAAGAATTAAAGCCTTTGATAAACTTCGCACTTGTTCTTCAGTCACAGTGGCCTGGTTAGGTACACAAGAAAGGAATAAATTTTGTATTTATAGGAAAGAAGTGGATGACAATTATAATGAGGAGCAAAAGAAAAGAGAGCAGAATCAGTGTCTGGGGCCAGACTTGAGGAAGAAGTCTGAAAAAGTCCTTTGTAAATATTTTCACAGCCAGAACCTACAGAAGGCAGTTACCACAGAGACAATTAAAGGACTGCAGCCTGGTAAATCCTACTTACTAGATGTTTATGTCATAGGACATGGAGGACACTCTGTGAAGTATCAGAGCAAATTGGTGAAAACAAGAAAATTCTGTTAGTGATGTTCAATGGAACATTATTCAATATTAAACATACAGATCGACTACTTACAAAGCTGAGGAGTTGTGAACTGTATTGGTACTATGTAGAGAAGATAACATCTATATTTATGTTTACAAAACTGATTGGGTGGAGGGGCTGAGCCTGGCAATCTTTGCTGGTAACTGACAGTTGCATTATCATGCGTCTGGTGGTCCATGCTTGATGCTCCGTAAGATATCCAAACAAGCAGGAAATTGTGAAGGAACTGCCCTTTTTGCTCCCATATTGCATGAAGTGCTTCTAAATTATTTTATTACTCAGAATGCTGAGATGTCATTAAATCACCTTGTTATTCTACACAAACAAAATTCCCACTCAACCTCTATCTCTTTGTATACTAGAGGATTATGTAAATTATTCTTGTTTGAAATGTCTATGTCCTCCATGAGTGTAAACTATTAAAAAAAATTCTTGTTAAAACACAGATCTAAAGTAAGTATTAACTGGACATGTCAGTTTTATTGCTAATGTAAATTCCTGTCTAGTTAATTTTAAATGTATGTATTTCATGTACAAAATTGTCAGACGTTATATTCCTGTACATAAAATTAAAATATTAGAGTATATGTTCCTTTTTCATCCTGGTGTTGTCAAATATGTCTATGTATTTGTAGAACTCTGAATACATTTTGAGTATCAGTAAACATTTTATATCTAAAGATCACTAAAGTTAAGCTACTAATATCTCAGAAACTCTTTAGACTCTATAGATAAGCCATTGAACACAAGGTGGTCTTTTATCTTTTACTTCTGAACTTTTTACAGTTAATAGGATCAACTGCCTGTATAAGTATTAGGAGAATAACTGGGCAATCCTAAACAAACAGACTTACATTCTTCTAAACACATGGATTTCAATGGCTATAGAAGGGCATAAGAGAGTTACTCCTAAACAGAATTATAACTCTGGAGTCAATGTCTTTGAGGGTGATGTGCTTAGAAGGGTGTAACACTATTTAGTAATGTACTATAAAATTCCTAGTGAGGCTTAAAGTTTTGGGGGTCTGTTATGTTTTATCTTTCTCTTATTTTCTATTAATGCATAATAATGTCTTGGCCAATTTTCTGGGTGTAATCCGGTATTTAATTAAATACATTGACATCCCACTGATTTAAACTAGATTTAATTTATTGCAATTATGTTTTGGATTATACCTAGTAATTTATAATCTCAACTCACATACACAATACACAAATGGCTGGAAGGCAGATGAGCTTTTTTCTGTGCTTTTTCATAGAAATTAATTTGATTAAAACAGTTCTGAACCAGGTAGCCTTTTCATTTATTTTATGAGGACCAGTGCTAGCAATTATTCTCCAGATGTTTTGAATAGTCAACCAATTCTGACTGCAATTCCAAAAACATTTTGCCAAGTCCCATTGAATAAACTTGGACTGAAGTATGAACTTTTCCATCTAGTGACACTTTCACACACACTCAGTGCACTTTCAACCCATTTTCCATGCACTATGCAACTGGATTTTACTGTATAACATAGCAAAATCCACCCACAAATGATAAAAGCATGAGAGCATAAAAGAAGCCAATGGTGGATCAGGCCAATGGCCTACCCAGTCCAACACTCTGTCACACAGTGGCCAGAAACACTAAGTGCCACCAGGAGGCCCACCAATGGGGACAGGACACTAGAATCCCTCCCACTGTTGCCCCCCCCCAAGAATACAGAGCATCACTTGGCCCAGGCCAAGAGTTCGTATCTATACCTTGTGGCTAACAGCCACTGATGGACCTCTCTGCTCCATATATTTATCCAATTTCCTCTTCAATCTATCTGTACTTGTAGACGCCGCCACTACCTGTGGCAGTGAATTCCATGTGTTAATCACTCTTTGGGTTAAGAAGTACTTCCTTTTATCCATTCTAACCCAACTGCTCAGCAATTTCATTGAGTGCCCATGAGTTCTTATATTGTGAGAAAGGAAGAAAAGTACTTCTTTCTCTGCATGCTCTATCCCATGCATAATCTTGAAAACATCTATCATGTCACCCCTCAGTCATCGTTTCTCCAAGCTAAAGAGCCCCAAGCACTTTAACCTTTCTTCATAGGGACAGTGTTCCAACCCTCTATCATTCTAGTTGCCCTTTTCTGCACTTTTTCCAATGCTATAATATCGCTTCTGAGGTGTCCATTTAACATGGATTGAAAGTGCATTGTTGAGTGTATGTGAAAGTTGGTGGAGATTGCTCTCTCAGGCTACAATCTTAAGTGATCTTACTAAAAATTCAGAACCATTGAAATGCAGTGGGACTTACTTTTGAATAATAAGCAAGCATTATAAGACTACCAGTTAATAGTGCTATGGCCTTCTTAACCCATTGACTTCAATCTGGGGTTATATTGCAGTATCATATTCTACTTACATGGAAGGAAATGTCACTGGGGTGTGCACAAAAAATAGTATTTTTTAGATTCAGGTATATTGGACCTGAAAAATATCAGTATTTCTGATATTCTTGAATTGCCAGTACTGGCATGGTATTCAAATTTCGGATTGTTCGGGAATCCAGAATTTTTTTTTTTGCTCCATTATACCCTATAGGGCCATTATAGTCAATGAGGAATCTATCTGGGGCTATCTGGGAGCCCGGGGGAGCTGTTTTTTGAGGTAGAGGCACCAAATTTGCAGCATAGCTGCTGGTGCCTCTCCTCAGAAGAAGGTACCCCCATCCTCCATTGTTTCCAATGAGGGGGGAAAGTAGCAAAAAAAGCAAGGACAATAGAAGCCCAGCAGAACAGAATCAAAGTCCCAAAGAATCTCTGCAGTAGAAACTAAAGGTTTCTTCAGTTTTTTCTTGCAAAATGCCATCCCATCAGAACCAGTGCAATGTACAGAGGGACCAGCAATACCAATCCAATCACCGAATGCCCAGCAGAACCCAGTGCCATTGTGGCAATGCCAGCTCAACAGCACTGATGTCAAGCACAAAATCACAATCCAAGCAAGGGGGTGGGTTGCAAGCCCAACAGAACCAGTGCAATGTAGTGCCCAGCCAGCAAAACACAGTGCCACTGTGTCAATACCAGTTTCACAACAAATCCAAGCAAGGGGGGGTGCAAGCCCAGCAGAATCAGTGCAATGTACAGTGCTCAGCAGAGCCTAGTGCCATTATGGCACTGCCTGCTCAACAGGACTGATATCAAGCATAGAATCACAATCCAAGCAAGGGGGTTGCAAGCCCAACACAACCAGTTTAGTGTACAGAATGCCCAGCAGAACCCAATGGTACTGTGGCACTGCAAGCTTAAAAGGATTGATCTCAAAGCACAAAGTCTCAGATATCTCAGAGACAACAAATCCAAACAATGGGGGGGATTTGCAAGCTCTGTGCAAGAAAATGGAACACAAAAGAATGAGGGCAAAGGAAGAAAACAGCTTCTTGAAACAGGCAAGACTAGTTTGAAACTGACAAGAACAGTGGGGAAGCCCATAGAAACCCCAACACAGAAACAAAAAAGAAAAGCAAAAACAGTCTTCCCAGAAAATCCCAGATATATGCAGGATTATTTCAAGATTCCCCCCCCTGGTTTTCTTTTTCAAAAGTCCCGGATGTCTTTGAGATGCTGAAATACACACATACACACACCCCAACAAGGTATTTATTGGATATATTTTTGACTCAGGTGTATCTGAGTGCACACCCCTAAATGTCACTGAATTCAATGGGGCTTCCATATAAGTAAATATTTTATATATGGATGTTACGAGATTTCCCTTTGGTTCAAAATTCAGTTATTCAATTAGACAATATTCACATACTGTGTAAAAAATAAATAAATAACTAGTCTCCAAATATTTAATCTGCAAATTTACTGGAGCTGCAATCAAAATATACTTACCTATAAGTACACTGTAGTTTCCAGTCGGACTTCCAGTTTATCTCAATACAAGATTTCACAATAGAATTGGGAATCCTGGCCACAATTAAACACTTTTTAGGTCTCATGGCTTTCATTGGGATAATTAAACGTATTTTAAAATCTCATATTGAGATAATTGGGCATTGTCTGGATCATGCCATTTATTATTAATCTTTTAAATGTAGAAATAACATTAATATAAAAGACTAATTACATATAAATTTAAAAATAGAACTGGAATGATATGTGCATATACTAGTCACTGTACAACTTGTTGACATGAGACTCACTTTTGAGAATACTGTTATTTTTCTAGACAGAAAGACAAAATGTCTTATTCCTTTGGCCACATGCAATAAACATTTACTACTATTAGTATTCCTTGTCCTCCCTCCTGGACTCATGACCCTCCTGCAAAAATGATGTGACCCACAGTTTGACATCCAGTAGCATACACAAAAATATGCTTCATTCACTGAGATGACTGGAATGTTTCTTGGACAGGAACAAAGGAGGGAGGGAAGAAGCTTGGGGTTCTTTCTTCCATAAACTAAAGGTGAAGCTATATGAAGCTACTCTGTTCTTAGTCAAACCATTGGAAAGGCTTTTTGTCTATTCAGAATGGCTTTCTCAGTACCTATTACCTGAGATGTTTTTAACAGGAGATGCTAAGAATCAAACCTATTTGGGCACATCCTCATACAACAAACCACAAAAGTAGAATCTTAAATTAACAATTGGTTTTTCCTGATAGCTGATACCTTCTTGGAGTTTAACTAAGGATTAATTTCTATTGTAGCCAGGAAGGATGAAAAATCTGTAAGAAGATGTGCAAAAGAACCCAGGAGCACTACAGTTTTAATCATCGAAAACTGAGCATCTTGTTCAAAGTGTGAAATTAATGAAGTCGATTGTTTGCCATATCCCTCTCTGTAATTTAATTCCACTTGATTTCAGCTGAAGATATTATACATCATTGGGTGAGAAAGATACCTTGGTTTTCCTCAATCCACTTTCAGTGCCAAACTATCATGCACTTCATTCTATCACATCACTTAATATTATCTCTGGCTGTTGTGGTTATCATGTGTGACATCTGGTGTAAATACAGAATCATGTAGATGGAATGTCATTCCCTTGAAGTTAGTGGCAAAATTCCCATTGATTTTAATGGAGCCAATGTTTTACACTTGGACTTTGTCTTTGGGAACACATTCAGTGTCTGAGGAGGATCCAGTTCAATATGTATATTACAGCCAGAATGTGACATATTGATTCTATAAAGCACAGTATAATTCATAGGACAGTTCTAAATAGAATTATTATGTAGTTTAATACGAATTTATCTTGCTCTTTGGAATTCTGCAATATTCTTTATTTAGTTAGTTGAAATAGTTATATCCCATCTCTCAGCTAAAACGTATTTTGAGGCAGCTTGAAGCATAGTCTCACACAGCATAGAACCTGAGTTGCATTAGTCAAAATGCTTCAGATCTG